CCCAATTAAAATTATTATGTTGATAGCCCGGCCTGGCGGAACAACAGGGTCTTCAATGCGCAATGAAACACCCGGAGGTCGGAGATCTTATGTATTTCCGGGGGCAGTTCATTCCACAGGACTGGGGCTCCCACAGAGAAGGCCCTCCCCCTGGGTGTCGCCAGCCGACATAACTTGGCTGATGGCACCCTGAGGAGACCCTCTCTGTGGGAGTGGACTGGTCGGTGGGAGGCTATTGGTGGCAGAAGACGGTCTCGAAGGTACTCGGGTCCTATGCCAGGGAGCGCTTTAAAGGTGGTAAACCATACCTTGAATCGCACCCGGAAGACCACTGGGAGCCAGTGCAGCTCGCGCAGGGGGGGTGTCACGCGGGCACAATCGGTTGCGCCCATAACCACCCGCGCGGCCGCATTCTGGACCAGTTGGAGCCTCCGAGTGCTCTTTAAGGGGAGCCCCATGTAGAGAGCATTACAATAGTCCAGCCGGGAGGTGACAAGGGCATGAGTGACCATGCGCAAGGCGTCCCGGTCCAGAAAGGGCTGCAACTGGCAGATCAGGCGAACCTGATAAAAGGCCCCCCTGGCCACGGCCGCCATGTGCTCTTCTAAAGACAGCCGTGCATCCAGGAGGACACCCAGATTGCGAGCCCTCTCTGTGGGGGGCAAAGATTCACCCCCAATAGTCAGTGATGGCACCTGCTGACTATATCGGGACGCCGGCAGCCACAGCCGCTCGGTCTTGGATGGGTTGAGTCTGAGCCTGTTCCTCCCCATCCAGACCTGCACAGCTTCCAGGCAGTGAGACATCACATCAAGGGCATCGTTGGGGTGGTCTGGGGTGGAGATGTACAGCTGAGTATCATCAGCGTACAGATGACACTTCATCCCAAAACCACGGATGATCTCACCCAGCGGCTTCACATAAATGTTGAACAGAAGGGGTGAGAGGACCGACCCTTGTGGCACTCCCCATGCGAGACGCCTCGAGGTCGACCTCTGCCCCCCTGCCAACACGAACTGCGAGCGGTCGGAGAGGAAGGAGGAGAACCACCGCAGAACGGTGCCCCCTATTCCTAACTCTCTCAACCGCTGCAGCATGATACCATGGTCGATGGTATCAAAAGCCGCTGAGAGATCTAATAGGACTAGGACAGAGGAGCAACCCCTGTCCCGAGCCCTCCAGAGATCATCCACCAACGCGACCAATGCCGTTTCTGTGCTGTGCCCCTGCCTGAAGCCCGACTGGCACGTGTCTAGATAGATAGCTTCATCCAGGTGCCTGGGCAGTTGTCGTGCCACCACACTCTCGACAACCTTCGCCACAAAACGAAGGTTGGAGACCGGACGGTAGTTAGCTAATTCAGCCGGGTCCAGGGAAGGCTTCTTGAGGAGGGGCCTCACCACCGCCTCTTTCAAGGTGGTGGGAAAGACGCCCTCACTCAGAGAAGCAGTTATAATCCCCTGGAGCCAGCCTCGTGTAACCTCCCAGGAGGCCAGTACCAACCAGGAGGGACACGGGTCCAATAAACATGTGGCGGCACTAATCCTACCCAGAACCCTGTCCACATCCTCAGGAGTCACAGGATCAAACTCCTCCCAGATAATATTCTCAAGACCTGCCCCTGTCTCCTCCCCTGGACTCATCCAATCGGAGTCCAAGCCATCCCGGATCCGAGCGACTTTATCATGCAGGAATTGCACAAAATCCTCAGTGCGGCCCTGCAAGGGATCTTCCTGCACTCCCCCCCAAAGAAGGGAGTGGGTCACCCTAAACAGGGCGGCTGGGCGGTTCTCTGCAGATGCAATAAGAGCGGAAAAATGGTTAGATTTCTCCGCTTTTATCGCCACTAGGTAGGTCTTGATATAAGACCTGACCTGTGTCCGGTTGGAATAGGATTGACTAGTCCTCCAAATGCTCTCTAGGCGTCTTTTCCGATGCTTCATCTCTCTCAGCTCCTCAGAGCCAATTGAGATCAGCATCGGGTCAGAGGCCGCAAAGGCACGACGTGGTCCAAAGCTCCGGCGGCCGCACTCTCCCAGGCGGCCACCAGCTCTTCAGTCGAGTCGTGTGTTAGAGTCTCAGGAAATGGCCCAAGCTCTGTCAGGAACCTTTCGGGATCCATCAGGCGCCTGGGACGGAACCATTTGGTTAGTTCCGTCTCCCTGCGGCGGGGGAAAGCGGTAGGAAAGTCTAAGTGAAGGAGCGAATGATCTGTCCATGACAAGGGTTTGATGTCTAGGTCCCCTCTATCAAGATCATTCAACCACTGACCAGAGACAAAAATCAGGTCCAGAGTGTGTCCCCCTATGTGAGTTGGGCCTTGAACTAACTGGGTCAGGTCCATGACCGTCATGGAAGCCATGAACTCCCGAGCCACCTCTGACGCCTCACCCGCAGACGGAAGGTTGAAATCCCCCATGACAATAAGTCTGGGGGTATCAACCGCCACCCCGGCAATGACGTCGAGTAGCTCGGGCAGGGTCGCTGCCACGTGGCAGGGAGCCAGGTACACAGTCAGCAAACCCATCTGCACCCCACAGCCCCACTTCACAAAGAGGGACTTACATCCGGCTATCTGAGGAACAGTGGTCTCCCTTGGACAAAGACTCTCCCTAATAATCACTGTCACTCCCCCACCCCTCCCCTGGGCCCTTGGCTGATGAAATGCACGGAAACCTGGTGGGCACATCTCAACGAGGGGAACCCCCCTCTTGGCCCAACCAGGTCTCCGTAATACCTGCCAGGTCCACACCCCTCTAAAATAACAAATGAGGGGGGCTTTATTAATGACCGACCTGGCATTACACAACATCAGCCGCGGACCCTGGGCCTGAGACTCTGCACAATCCAGGACACGAGTCGCGCATTGGAGGCTGGGGTGCGTAATTTCTCGTAAACAGCGTGTGTGCACCCCCAGCACATGATATGGCCCTCTGCGCCCGTCATACCTGCCCCTCCCACTCATTGTTTCAATTACACAGCCCTTCCTATCGTCCCCCTGCTTCCCGGTTAAATTTCCTTTCACGACCCCTCTGTTGCAGCCAATCGACCCATCACCCCGCTCAGTTGCTATCTGAACCCCCCCGGGTCCACTTTTACAACCCCCTCCCTTCCTCCTGGGTCCCCTTAAAATTTTGATTAAAAATTTAGCTAAAAAACCCCTCAACCCCCTTCTCGTACCATGCCACCTCTCGGGGTTCCAAAGCCCATCATTAAGGTAGAGTGGAGGGCCAAACCTGCGAGAGGGGGGAGTCTTGCAGTGCACATAGCTCCACCACCGAGTACATCAAGTAAGATCAGAATGGGAAGGCAGTTTGGTAGGGTCCAACAGAGTCCTAGGACAGAAGATCTTTATATAAGCAGCAACCTGGAATCCCCTGCTCTCTCACAGCAGCGGAAGGAGTTGGTTTATACAGTCAGCGGGAGAAAAGTTTTTCCCAGCCACCCTCTCACAGTGGCCGGCCAGATGTCCCAAGGCAAGGAATTTGATGGTATCATCCCTTCTGGTAAAGGATGGTTCAAACAGCCAACTTCCCTCAGGGTCCACAAAATACTGTCCAAGTCCCCATCTGACGGGAGTTTCGATGGAAATAATTCAATTAGATTTAATATGATTTTATTTGTAGTGGGGTACAAATAAAGCTGCCCAGTAGTTGTCCAGTAATTCCATAGGAGGATAGATGTATATACAAGGGAGAGGAGAGGAGAGGGTGAGGGGGGAGGGGAGGAAGGCTGACTCCCAGGCTGATAACAGGGCCAGAAAGAGGGGGAGTAGGGGGAGGAGAGGCCACCCATGGAGGCCCCATCCCAGAGCCATCCACCGGACTCTCCAACCCCAGATCTTTCCATCCCCTCTTGTCATTTCAGCCATATCATGCCTCCGTTGGCAACCTCCACTTCGCCTCTCCGCCAGCATCCAACGTCCAACAACTTCCACCTCACCCTTTTTCGCAGCCATCTTTATCCAGCTAAACATCCCCTCCCAATCGCTGCGCAGCGGCCGCCATTGCCGCCGCAACTCCGCAACTCCACCACCAGTGCCAGACAACTGGTTCGCCCAGCACCGGAAATGTAACCATCCGTGCATGCATGCAACATCACAAAACATGGCAATTTGCCATGTAGAATGGCAGAAAAGGTAGAACAGCCAGCCTTAGAACTGAGAATAAAGAAATCAAAGTGGTGGAGAGCTTCTCTATTTTAGAACCAACATTAACCATAAAGGAACAAGCAGTCAAGAAACACACCACAGACTAGCATTCAGTAGGGTAACCATCAAGGCCTTGGAAAAAATATTCAAATGCTGTGATGTTTCTATATCTGTCCAGCTATGAAAAAGATAGCAAAGTAATTTCCACAGCAACCACCCATCATGCCATTAACACAGTCTTTGGACTTGATTCGTTATTCTTTGAGTGACACAGAGTTCTTTGTGGAGCAGAAACTGTAAACCAGGAATTCTCAGCTTGCACCCAGCAAAAATTAATTCGGATACTGTTTGTTCTAGGTTGCCCAAATGTATGCAAATCTGCACAAAGCCAGACCCAACTGAGCTTCTTCTCCCACTCCTTGCAGTACATTTATTTATGCTTGATTTCAAATTTCTGGTTGACCTCATGTGGGCCAGACAGGGACAGTTAAGGGGCTGGATATGGCCCAGGGGCCATAAAATGGCCAAATCTGATCTATGTTGCTAGGAGTCAAAATTGATTTGATGGCATCAATTTTCCCACTTTTTTAATATCTAAGAGACAGAATTTGGGATTTTTAAGTGAACAGAAAACTAATTCCACCTATCAAATCAGCAAGAAAATGAATTACTCCAAAATTTGTATAAATGCAAGTGTCCCAATTCATAATTCTTTCCTATCCCAGGATTTAGTCAGAATTAGTATGTAGCATTAAATGTATAAGGAAGGAGGACCCTGAGTCCAGACCATTGTGCTTTCTAACATATATTAAATGTCAAGATTCTTGGAAGAAAACCAAGGCAGTCAAGCTGGTAAAAAATATTTTTAATAAAGTTTCTGATTCTTAGTGAAGTTATTCATCAGAAATGCAAGACAGATTTTTTTATTGATATAAACACTATAATATGTGGATGATAATGATGATGATGATGATGATAATGATGATGATGATGAACAATATAATAATAGCACCCTTGGTTGGTCAAGTGATTTGTTTATTCATTTGACTTGATTTATGGTTTGTCTTCTGTTGCTAAACTTCTCCCTAGTGGCATACAAAAGCAAAATTAAAGAAAACAATAAGGAATCATAAAATCAATAACAAACAATAGATAAAGCCACAAGAGAAAAAAGAGCAGCAATTAAAGCCACTTCTGACATAGAAGATGTAAAAACCTAGGAAATTAAAATTGTCTTTGTCTAGCTATGAAAAAAGATATCAAAGTAATTTCCACAGCAAACCTCCCTGAGGCCATCATGTCATTAACACAATCTTTGGATTTGTCTTGTTGCCCTTTGAGTTATACAGAGTTCTTTGTTTTGCAGAAACGGTAATCCAGAAATTCTCAGCTTGCACAGGGCAAAAGTTAGTTACAGTGCTATTTGTTCTAGGTTGCCCAAATGTATGCAAATCTGCGCGCGCACACACACCAACCAACTTATTTTGAATCCATAAACTGTCCAGACTCAGAGCTGGTTATGGATTGCTCTAATAAACAAAGAACACACATTTTCCCCTTCATGCCCCTGGTCTTCTGAGACCAGATCAACAGGGAGATTCTCATTTTAATTCAGATTTACTTTTTTTTTTTATAAAAAAAATATCGTTGAGATGTATTTAGTGATGAAAGGTCCCTGTGGCAACAAGAATTATGATGGTGAGATTTGGCAAGAGACCCAACAGAGCATTTGAGGTAATATGTCAATGAAGAAAATGCAATCTAAGAAATTGCATTGCAAATTGCCCCTAGAAACACTTCTAGGGGCATTTGCAATACTCTTGACTAGCTTTCAAATGGGTTGGACTTTGACTCCCATAATTCCTTACAATCATAGCCTTATAAGCCTTATAAGCAGGGTCCCTTAAACATTTCAATTCTGTAACATCCTAAAATGATGAATATGTGCAGCTCCCCATGGGTTGGGCTAGAAATAAATATACCATTTACTTTAATAATTAAATTGCAATATTTATATCAAATAAAGCAATGGCCAGAGTTTTCAAAATAAAATTGATACAAATTCCAAACTTTAATCATGCAAAGACTTCTACAGAAATTCCAAGGGTTTGTTACTATTTGGCTATGTGAGGAGAGATGCCAGAGAGAAATGTTTCCTATAAAAGCCAAACCAAACTAAACCAATCTATTGATCTCAACCATCAGTGGTTAAGATCAATGGATTGCTAATAATAATTGTCTATTAATAAAGGAGAATATTTGTAGCTCAGGGTTGACATGAGGGGTTCTTAGTGGTCTCTGAGCTTGCTTGTTTTCTTATAGACGTTTCATTACCCAAACTAGGTGATTTTATTTATTTTATTTTATTTAGTTCAATTTATATGCTGCCTTTCTCCGGAGACTCAGGGCGGCTTACAATGCATTTAAAAAACCATTATAAAAACATTTAAAAATTAAAATATTAAAACTCATTCACACCATTCATGGCCGGATCTCACAAGATCACAACAGCGAGATCAACGGCCCCAGGCCTGCCAGAAAAGCCAGGTCTTCACCGCTTTTTGGAAGGCCAATAGGGTGGGGGTGGTCCGGACCTCAGGAGGTAACTGGTTCCAGAGAGCTGGGGCAGCCACAGAGAAGGCCTTCCCCTGCGGGCCCGCCAGCCGGCATTGTTTAGCTGACGGGACCCGGAGGAGACCAACTCTGTGGGATCTTACTGGTCGCTGGGAGCTATTCATCAGTGAATAGCTGATATAATATCATCAGTGCTAGTGCTAGTGACTACCACTGATAATTTTAGCTTGTTTGGGTAATGAAATGTCTGCAAGAAAACAAGCAAGCTCAGAGACCACCAAGGACACTTCAATAATTGTGTGTGATCACTAAGTACCATTTTGCAGAAATCAGATTTTTTTTCAGTTCAATTACATCAAAAATCCTATCTATATTATATACCCTGCTCAAAAAAATAAAGGGAACACAAGCAGAGACATCCAAGATCTGAATGAATGAAATAGCCTTATTAAATACTTTGTTTGTTACATACAGTAGTTTTGTGTTCCCTTTAATTGTTTGAGCAGGGTATAAACTACTGTTTAATAAGGCTATTTCATTCATTCAGATCTCGGATGTCTCTGCTTGTGTTCCCTTTATTTTTTTGAGCAGTATATTACACTTTGATCAAAACAGATTTCAAAAACTTTAGCAACAATTTAGACATAATGATGAATTTAAACCATTTAAACAATTATAAAATAAATAGAAAACTAAGGAAAAGTCGTTCATTTCAAAATATTGTTTTCTAATATAAGTAACTATTGAGATCAATGTTTCTCAAACTTGGCAACTTTAAGACATGTGGACTTCAACTCCCAAGATTTCCCAACCAGCATGCAATAATTCCTGTGTTCTGGCAATGAAACAGATAGAAAACCAATTCATAAGTTCAGTAATAGTCAACTTAAGTCAACTGAATACTCAATACTCAATAATGCTCAATAGTACTCAGCAATGCTCAACTGAAAGGAGAAGCTGAAAGAGAAGTGTCAAAATCTTCAGGAAGCTTTGCGACTGTAGCTCCACCCTTTTCAAAGGGACTCTGATTGCAAGATTGTAACTGCCATCTTGCAAAATTCCATACGCCCACACTGCAGATGTTTTTGATGTCTAAAGCACTTTTTTTAAAAAAAGTTGCAATTAACCCCCTAAATTCTTTGAAATCCCTGATGCGACCACAGTTTGAGAAGCCTAAAAATATGGTGATGAAATCCAACACCAACAGGTATGGAGTATTGAAACGGGAACCCAAACCCTAGCGTATTCTGGGAGATCCATTTGTCGATCCCGTGACAAAACACCAGGCTAGATTTGAAGATTGAGCTAAGTAATGGTTGTCTGAATAGTGCATAGTCAATAAGCTAAAATGGTTACAATTGTACAGCATGTTATGTTATAAGCAATTATGCATAGAAAAATCTTAAATAGCAGAGATTACATTCCTTATATAGAAACCACATCAAACCACATCATGAAGAAAAGCAAGAGTTAATGTTATGCTTGCAAACATTGCAGTATGTTTAATTAAATTGCATTAGTAAAAAGCCATCAAAGAATGGACATTGTTTACTGGTCCAGCCACACCCTTCCACTGAAACCAAGAGAACATGGAGAGCTGAATTGTGATGGAATTATATTCTTGTTTTGAACCTATTAAGCAAAAATTAACTCCATGGAGCTATTCTGGTGCTGGGAAAAGTGGAATGAACGAGAAGAAGTGGACCATCAGCAGCAAGATGGAGGGACTCCATTACAATGGCAATGAATGCCCCATTAGAAAGCCTGAAAGAAAAAAGACAGATCATCATGGAGAAAATCTATGTAGTCACTAAAAGTCAACACAAACTTGATAGCACATCAATCAGTCAGTCTGTCAATTTATAGGCAGAAAGGTGATGGGATTTGTGGTCCCCTGTTTGGTCAGTGATACAAGCCTGTATGAATTTGTTGTTTTGAATCATGGAGGCTTTTCTGCATCCAGCTCAACTTCTGAGAGGTGATTTCATGGATATGGTTCACATAATTTTCTCAGCAACAGTGCCAAAGTAATTTGCCACTACCTTCTTCTCAAATGTTTTTCCACTTCCCAGTTAACCTGCAGTCTGATGTTTCCTGGAGAACTCCTAACCATGTACTAACTAGGTTTGACCTAGCTACATTTCCAAGGCCAGACAAGGTCAGCCAGTAGCTGCCACTTGCTGAGGCTCTGAAATATCCATGCATGCATTTTGTATAGGGCAATGCAAAATGTTTCTCAAGCAAAACACAAAAACCCACCTTCAATCATTTTTCTTCCTTCAGTCTTTCACTTTGCAACACATGAATAAAGAAAAGGTTCAGACTATTTTCTTTGTTCTCTGGAGTGTAACAGGGCAATAAATTGACCCTCAGTGAGGGGAAATCACAATTTCTTTCTTCCCCTTTCTTTCCTGCTTCATAGATCTCATTCCTTAACCCTTGTAAAACGGAGAGGTGGTAAATGCATTTTGCTTTCCAATCCACCACAGATGTCCTACATCTGCAAAAGCTGTCTCCTTGGGGTATGTCTTGAGAGTCTCTTAAGCCATGATAACCATGATACGTAGAACCTCTGGCCACAGAATTAACCCTGCATTGTCCCCATAATAGCCATCAGACACCAAGTTTGCTAATTAACCTCCAACTTAAACAGTACAAAATAAACAGGTAGAAGTGGGGGCTTCTCTTTTTCAAGGGATACACACCATCACTCGGCATGTTCCCTGCATCCCCAGGGAGGCCCCCAATCCAAGGTAGTTGCTCACACCTGGCCTAGAAGATAACATGCTGCAGGACTATGTTAGGAGCCCTGCATATAATGCTATGAAATAGAAAATTTCAAATCAACTCTCTACAACACATCTCAAATGTAATATGTTTTAGGAAGCCTTTATGACTAGTGACTCACCAACCAAAAATGTACTTCCAAATCTGGGTGGCAACTCTTCAGAGCTGTTGGCTCACTGCCTGTCTGAAATGGTACAGTACAAACAGATGCTTGCCAAGATTTTGGCAGACCATCGTATACAGAAAATGGGCTGTATTCATCTTGGTAGATCAGAAATGCACTTTATTTATTTATAACATTCAAAAGCTGCCATTAACTTTAAAAGTTCAAGGTAGCATACATATTTAAATATATGGGGAGGAATCTAAGTAATCTAACCATTGCAACAAATGAAAAACTAGAATGTCCTTTGCTTGCTCTTTTCCATAGACAAATTGCTTGAACCTTGGTGGCATGAAACAGGCATGACTGACCTGAAAGAATGCCAATCCATGCATGTAAGGACTCATGGAACTAAACAACTGGCATTCACAATGGGTAATTTCCATAAAGAGCCACAAAATAGCAGCTTAGACTCTGTAAATCTAAAAATGGCTTTGGAATTGGGATGGTGGCATGCATAAATTATTCTGTCCAAAGAAGAAAGAATACAAAGTCAGTTTATTTGATCAAAGTTAAAATAACGGGTTACTTACTATTTCAGAGGATATTTAATGGTTTTCTGATTGGGACTGGATCATAATGGTTATTTCTGGTAATGTTTAACTGGCTTTTTTTAATTGAGACTGGACTTTATACTGTATGAAAAAGGAAAATGGGGAGAGAGATCTGTTTAAAAGTAAGCAGAAATATAAATATAAAAGGAAAGATTCAAACTGGGTGTAATATATAAAGTTTTCAATACTTATGTTGTTTTTTCTTATAATTTTTACTGGATGTTTGCTAATTAATACCTATATGGAAAGATGAGGCTTTAGACACAAGCCATAGGAAATGAGGTGAAATATGGAATAAAGAGGTGTTTCTTGTTTCTTTTTTTAAAAGATACTGATAAGTTGTTAATCCTGATTATATTTACTAATTATTATGTATTAATGTACTATGTAGTTGTATTAGTTTTATCTGTATAATATAATCTTCAATAAAATTATTGGAAAAAATAAAAACAGACAATCCATACTTCTTCAATTCAACCATAACTCTTCTAACTCTATTTTGGCAGACCCAGAATTTTCCAAAAATCGTCCTCTGGAATCCAGTGGCAAATCAACTATTTTCAATGGCAGGAATTCAGGTAAAAATAAAAGTCACAGCCAATTTAGTTAAGGGTTAAAGCATCAGATTAGAAACTAAGAGACTGTGAATTCTAGTCCCGCCTCCAGCACAAAGCCAGTTGGGTGACCTTGGGCCAGTCACTTTTTCTCAGCCCTAGGAAGGAGGCAATGGCAAATCATTTCTGGAAAAAAGCTACAAAGAAAGCTGCAGGAGCCTATCTAGGGAGCTTTTGAGAATTCGACACAATTGAACAGAAGAAAAAAAAAGAAAAAGTCAAAAATCTCCTAGAGACTTGGTACATTTATTTTCCTAGAAAAAAAAATAATTCCTACTCAGCCCTCCTCTAATGTTATCAGAGCAGTTCCATCACAACTTCTCCCCTCTTTTTTTTAAAGAGCATTCCTCCACTCCACATGGTGTAGAAGACTGAGTGTCCATCTTTCAGCCATGAAAAGGTGGCCCAGCCATCCTCAGAACAAAACCCTCTCAACCAATTTCAGAAAATTAAGGATAAGAGTCCCTTCCAAAATGGCTCAAATTATGCAAGATCCCTTTTGAAACAACCACAGACCCAGAGAGAAATAGCAATGTAGTAGTGTAGCATCAGCCCATCTTGATGAATAACTGAAGTAAGCGTATCTTGACGACTTCTTGTGCAGCCAATTAGAGTAGACAAAAGAGAAGACAATGGCGTAAAGGACTAAGGTCCAGGTATTCCAAAAAATCATACAGTCTTTCAGGACTGTTGCATTACCCACTTTAGCAAGCAAATGTGGAAATAGGTATATTTCAACCAGTAAAGCAGAAGGTTGCACATGTTCAAAGTGCCATGACAGGTGACAGCTGGTCAGTGGTGTGCTGGTAAATATTTAACCACCACTAGAATACTACTATCTGCCAAACAGCTGATTGGCATGCCAACTGTTGAGCCTCACCTCTGCTCTCAGTGGGATCCCAAAATTCTAGAAAATTTAATAAATAGCTATTGTGAATCATATCCAGCATACCCCCAAAGCTGGATAAAACATCCTTCTTATCATCGTGCTGGCTTTGTAAATAGAGATGGTCTTGTAGCACAAGTAGTCCTCAATGTATCACAATTGAGCCCAACATTTTTGTTACTAAGTGAAACATTTGTTAAATGAGTTTTGCCCATTTTACAAACTTTCTTGCTACAGTTATTAAGTGAATCTGACTTTCCCATTGACCTTGCTTGTCAGAAGGTCACAAAAGGTGACCCCAGGATATTGCAATCATCATAATTATGAGTCAGTTGCCAAGTGTCTGATCATGTGCCAATGGGAATATTGCAAAATGTGAAAAGGTCATAAGTCATGACCTTTAAAAGGTCATAAGTCATTGTATCATTTGAAATTAGAATGGTCACTAAAAGAATTGCCTAAGTCAAGGACTACCTGTAAAAACAATGCAGAACCTTCAAATATCTGCCTCTCTCCCATCTTACTAGATATTGTCACTTCTCCCCTTGCACTGAGGAGTAATAGGGAATAGCAGTCTCCCTTCTTACCCACTTCATGTTTTAAACCCCACTGCCCCACACCTACTAAAGCAATCTTTAATGATGTTCACTTGGCCCACTTCATAAATAGTCTATTTCTGTCAGTCCAAGCTATGCTGCCTGGTCTACACGAAATATATCTAGAGTGAGATTACAGGCAGGGGCTATTCCACTCTTGCTGGCCACTGATTAGTGGTGTCCACAGGATATTGTCAAAAAAGTCAAAATGCAGCCCAAAGTTTTGTAAATGAGAGTTTTCTATATATCTAAATTGTGAGGGAACATGATTTTTGTTGATGGTGGCTTTTAGGCATTTGCACAGGGCCCTGAAGGCCTCATGAAATCCTTGGACCCTATGCTGTCCTTCTGTGATGTTCTGGGACACAGAGCACTGATGCAGCTTACATTAAAAAGCAGTTGGTTGTCACGTAGGAATCTCCATTTAGGCTCTCTAGTGCTGGTTTCATGTCATGGACTATTGAAAAACATAACATCCCAGGAGAGGGGGGCTGGGCTGGGTCCCAAAAAGCTGATAATCAGGACAACAGCTATGATCCAAGTGAAGACAGCAAAAAGGATGAAGGGGGAAGAGCCTTACACAATCTACCTCAGGATTGAAAGAGTTATATTTTATTGGCAGACATCAAGGGAAATGGGAACTAATACTTGATTTTAAAAGTGGCTTCTTTTTTGAGGGGAAGATATTTTTCATGGAAGGAAGAGGCAGGTGTATTCAGAAACTCCATTTCCTAACCAATCTTCTGCAAAAGAAATCTGCCACAGCAATCTATTTAGGTAACATTTTAATATTTTGCCGTATCAGGAGAAAAAAAAATCTCATGCAGCCGGAGGCAGGGAAAGCACAGGAAGTTCTATAGAGAAAATGTGGCATTTTCTATACTGTTGATTCTTGTTGGTGCATAGCTATAGCGACCTTGGTCTCATGAGGATGAGACATGCTGGAATCCAGTTGCAATTTCTTTGGAATGCTTTTTTTCCTTGATCTGAAATGGCAAAATTCATCTGCCATTTGCATCGTTAAGAATTCCTTCAGGGTTTAACAGCAGCAGCAGCTGCTGCTGTTGCTGCTCCTCCTCCCCTGCGGTTTTCCAGTTGCTCAGTGAGGGAATAGCACCCCCTGCTGGAGATCAGCTGCACTGCAGGGAAAATTAACAATCCTAAATCAGCATTAATAGGCCCCCGCCACCTTTTTAATGGTGCTCCATGTAACCGTAACGTCACAAGTATCGTGTTAATTTAATTCCAAGTAGAGCTATGGACCCTTCAATAGGTAATACAGTTAATTTCTGTTGCCTAGACCACTGATTTTCAAACCTGGCAATTTGAAGATATGCGGACTTCAACTCCCAAGATTCTTCAGCCCGCATGCTGTGAGATGGGTAGGTTAATTGTGCAAAAAAGAGGCGTGAGTTGCAACCATCATTGCCTGACACTGGCCATGCCATTTGGGATGCAACTGGCTGTAGATTTCCCATCCTGCATCTAAAATAAATCATAAGGATAGAAAATGAG